GGGACACGAAGGGAATGCGTATGGGGCCACGAGGAGCGCGAACGAGCGGGGGCCACGAAGTGCAGATAATGCGGGGCCACAGAAGGCAACTATGGGGCCACTGAGGGTAGCAGCTGGGCCTCGTAGGACAGTGAGGGGGACACAAATGGCGACAGCGGGGGCACGAAGGGCATGCACATGGGGCCACAACCGGCGCGACTCCTGGGTGCCTGGGTGTCGGGAGCGCGGCGCTTGGGCAACTTGCAAGAAATTCCAACGCAAGGCCAGCCCTCAGTAAGTTGCAAGCAAGTCTCCAGCGAGAGAGCGACTCCAGAGCGCCGGGAGAGCGATTCCTGAATAAATTGTAAAGAAGTCCCAAGCGAGAGCGCGATTCCTGAATCAAATGCGAGGAAGTCTCGGGCGGGAGCGGGGGGTCCTGGCTAAATTGTAAGGAAGTCTCAGGCGGGAGCCGTTGTTGTTGTAACGCGGAGGCCAGGGGCCCAGTTTGAGCAGGAAGACTTTCCCTGTCAAAAAACAGGGTGCGAGCATCGAGGGGCACACTTTGATTGAGGAAAAACAATATGCACTGGTGGGGGGGGATCAACAATAAATATTCTTCAGAAATGAGAATTAAACTACCACCACCACCACCACCACCATCGTCATCAGCATCAGCAGCATCATCATCATCATCATCATCATCATCGTCATCATCATCATCATCATCATCATCATCATCATCATCATCATCATCATCATCATCATCATCATCATCATCATCATCATCATCATCATCATCATCATCATCATCATCATCATCATCATCATCATCATCATCATCATCATCATCATCATCATGATCAGCATCATCATCATCATCATCATCATCAGCAGCAGCAGCAGCATCAGCAGCATCATCATCATCAGCATCAGCATCAGCATCAGCATCAGCATCAGCATCAGCATCTCATCATCATCATCAGCATCAGCATCATCATCATCACCGTCATCACCATCATCATCAGCATCAGCAGCATCATCATCACAATCATCCGCACCATCATCATCATCATCATCATCATCACCATCATCTTCATCTTCATCATCATCATCATCATCATCATCATAATCATCATCATCATCATCATCGTCATCATCATCATCATCATCATCAACATCATCATCAGCAGCATCATCATCATCATCGATATCATCATCCTCAGCATCATCATCGGCATCATCATCATCAGCATCATCATCATACTCCTCCTCCTCCTCCTCCTCCTCCTCCTCCTCCTCTTAATCATCCTCTCACTCCTCACCCTCCTCATCCTCCTAATCATCCTGATATAGCTCATCTTCCTCCTCGGCATCATCATCATCATCATCATCATCACCATCATCATCATCATCACCACCATCATCAGCAGCAGCATCACCATCTTCAGCGGCAGCATTATCAGCAGCATCATCAGCATCCTCATCATCAGCATCAACTTCATCTTCATCTCCATGAGCCTCCTCATACCCATCCTCATCCTCATCCTCATCCTCGTTATCATCTTCATCCTCTTCCTCATCCTCATCCTCATCCTCCACAACCTCCACATCCTCATCCTCCTCGTCCTCATCTTCATCCTCATCCCCCTCATCATCCTTCTTCTCTCTCCGCGTGGACGACCCCATTATTGAATCATTCAAGTTGGATTATCTTTCTCCTCTCTACGCCTCCGCCCTTCCTCCTTCTCAGCCTCATCCTCTCATCCTCGTCCTCCACGCATTATTCTGGGGCTGGTCCCGCCGCTGGGACTGCCCCTTTCCCTCCACCAACCTCCGGCTCCTCCTCCTCCTCCTCCTCATGATCATCATCATCATCACCACCACCACCACCAACAACAACAACAACCACCACAACCATCGTCATCATCATCATCAGCATCAGCAGCAGCATCATCATCACCATCCTCACCATCATCGTCATCATCATAACCATCATCATCATCACCACCATCCTCACCATCATCGTCATCATCATCAGCATCAGCATCAGCATCATCAGCAGCAGCATCATCATCAGTATCATCATGATCATCACCATCATCATCATCGACATCATCATCATCATTATCATCATCATCAGCAGCAGCATCATCATCATCATACTCCTTTTTCCTGATCATCCTCTTACTCCTCACCCTCCTCGTCCTCCTAATCCCCAGATCCACCTCCTCATCCTCCTCCTCCTCCGCCTCGGCATCATCATCATCATCATAAGCAGCAGCAGCAGCAGCATCACCATCTTCAGCGGCAGCATCATCAGCAGCATCATCAGCATCCTCATCATCAGCATCAACTTCATCTTCATCTCCATGAGCCTCCTCATACCCATCCTCATCCTCATCCTCATCCTCGTTATCATCTTCAACCTCTTCCTCATCCTCATCCTCATCCTCCACATCCTCCACATCCTCATCCGCATACTCATCCTCATCCTCCACATCCTCCACATCCTCATCCTCCT